GAGTGCTTTCCAAAATATTACTAGCGCTCTTTGTTGTATGGGAGGCTGCCCATAAAATCTATTACAATGATTTGGGAGTTGGTTTTAGATAATGATGCAAAATTAATATTCACATCTTGTAATTTTAGACTTATAGAACAACTGGCTCTGTCTTTGAAAAGTAAAGAAGCTATAATTCAGCACCTTGAAGAGGAAAAGTCTCAAAGTGAAACTTGTGATGGGAACTTACCAGCAGAAAAAATCAGAGAACTTACTGTTGCTTTGAGTAAAAAAGATTGTGAGATAGAGGTGAGGAAACTGACTTGATAACTTTAACATTACAAAGTTCAAATGATTTAGGATTTTAAAGATCTTAAGGATAACTATAACTAAGTGACTTAAGTTAACTTTTTAGTGGCCTTCTCAAATTCCTTTAGTTGGTCACCTCGTAGTTTTGGCAACCAGTATTGAGCACTACATTTCATCCTTCTCATTGTTTGGAGGTTTGGGTTTTCGTTTTTCTTGGTAATTTTATGTTTTCTACACAGTTCTGTAGCTCATAATGTGTCATCTCGTAATCAAAATCCACAAATAATTGGTTAGATTCTCTGAGCATGTTTACAGGCATGCCATTCTTATTAAGGCTTCTCCTTTAATAGAGTACTCTCCTCGTGTAACACAAAATAACTTATGAAAGTTAGTAATCTCTTCAACCTTCAGATTCTACTGAGGGAGCAATCTACCAATCACGTGTGTATTTTCCTCCCTTATGGAGAAAGTCAAATGCCATCTTGAGGTTGAAAAGCAGAAATGACTCTGAAGGCTAGTTTGATCTCTTCAGGGCTCTTTTCAAACCATGAATGAGGATGGTAAAATCCACATGATGATTAATGGAAGCAGTTAAGCTTCTAAGAAGTTTTATCCTTAGTAGATGTGGGTTTTTCTGCTTAGATAATATCTTGTGTTTTATATTGATTGGAGCATTACTTTTTCTTCCTTTTTGCCTAAATAAAAAAAACAGGAATGCTCTTCTGACTTAAAAGCTCAGAGGAGCTCTAGCTCTTTATACAAAATCATTGAAAGTATTGAAACCTTCAGAAAATCTATGTTGGGTTGATTTGATCAGGAATATAATTTTTGAGAAGTATCAAAATTAACATAGTTTTTTTTTAAACCATTTGTGGTAGGTGGGCCAAAATTAGTTCCTTTATTATTAGGTGATCTTGGTTATATTTACCTTAGAAATTGTGTACTTGTCTTGGGGTGTAATAGCGATGAGAGAGTTATGACTACTATTACTGGTCAATAAATAACCTTTACTTTGCTGTCTTTTTAAAAATGTGTCAAAGTATAAGTTGCTGTTGCTCATAAGTCTCTCACTTTTCTTAGGAAAATTACCAAAAGCCCCCAAACCTTCATTTAAAATAGAGGAGTTTTTAGTAAATCTACTTAAGCGTGCTGTCATAGATAACAAAAATGCATTTTTAAAGGGGCAGTTAACTTGTCAAACAGAGTTGTCATGTGTCATTAAGGAACATGGCTTTCTTTACCTTTCTATAGTGCAATTCTGTAGAAGGATCTCATTTGGAAGAGTAGTTTTCTATGAGTCTACAATATAATCTTGTCATAATGTTGGAATATTATAACTATACATTTTATAAACTAATTTAGCTTGGCGACTGGTGTCTGCAAGGGGAGAGGTGGGGAAGCGCAGTGAGGGCTATGCAGAAGAACAGGAAGTGGGCATGAGGGAGTACCCCATTTAACAATCAAAATTTTGGCATGGACACAAAGGGCAGTGCCCTAGGTACAATCATGAGTCACCAATGTTTGGAGGCGCACTTCTCTTAACAAGGTCCAAAAGAAAATCTATATATGAAATACTGACTGTCTGATTTTTACTGATTAATAATGACTGGGTGACAACTATTGTGTTCTTATAGGCTGTTAAAATGGACCTCAGAAATGAGCGAAATTGTTTTGAAAAAAAAATTCAGGTATGTTTAAAAAAAAATTCTCTTTGACCATTTGTAATGTGTGTTAGGGTGTCTTTTTTGCTATGCTTTAGTAGATGTAAAGAGTTTGTAATTCAAATAGGATTAATAGAGAACCTCTGGCAAATTTATTTTGTTGTATTAGATGACAAAACAAAGGCTCAGTCTATTTCCAAACAGCAAGATAGAAAGGGGAATTCTTCAAATACTGAGATAGTATGTTTGTTACTCATGTCCACCCTGGTAGATCAGATTTCCTTCACTGTATTTGTCACAGAACTATAAGGAGACATTTTAGAGTTGGGACAGTATTCTGGTTTGACTAATGAGATATAAGAATTGCATGAGCTAGTGCATTTCATACATACTGTACATTTATGGTGTACTTTGGAGTGAACTTTTTAACAGTATAACTTTAACGTACTCTGTTTAGTCTCTTCAAGAAGAACTACAAGAGAGGGAGAATGAGCTCAGTGTTGAAAAGAAAAATGGTTTGAAAAGGGATAAAACAATTCAAGGTCTAACTCTTGCTTTAAAAACAAAGGAAAAAGAGGTATGTTGAATGTATGTTTCTGGTAATAAATATATAAATAATTTAGGAACTGATCCATCTTATGTTGCTATCTTTCAGTTAATTTGAGAAGGCCTTGGAGCAGGCTGGTAGTGTGAATCCCAACAGTTCTGTGAAAGAGACAGTATGTCATAGTTGCTGCTTAAAATCAGAGTATGATGACTAGAGTTTTGTTGTTTGGACCATGGGGAAAAAAGATATGTGGCTGAGCTGATACACTTGCTCTTAGGGA